ATATATATATATACACACACACACACATATATATATATAAAAATAAACATCCCGCCAGCCAACCCAAACAAAATTCATCTGCAAGTTTTACGTGGCACCAGAGTTTGTCACCTCAGTAACACTTTGGCAACTTTTAAAAATGTTTAATAACAGTAAAGAGGCTTCATATTGAGTTTATTATTCTAAATACTTTAATATATTAATGGGTTTAAAATGTCAACATTTTGTAAGGCATTATTATTATCCCTACCTTACAGATAAGGAAACTGAGGCACAGAGAAGTTAGGTAACTTGACTAAGGTTAGCAAGCTAGCAAGTAGAGGAACTGGCATTTGAACCCAGACAACCTGGAACCAGGGCCTGGGTTCTAAACTACTATGCTATCCTGTCTCCTATACATCTAAGGAAAGATTCTAGTTTAGTAGTTCTAAGTTTCAAAAACACTAAAAAAACAAAAAACAAAAAACGACTTCAGTATATTAGCTTACTTTGGGTTTGTCCTTTCCCCTTTTTCTTGTAGAGTTTCAAGAACTTCTTCTCCAGATAGGACCAATTGGACTTTTTTATTTTCATGATCAAAAGACACCAACATGTATTCCACCTATTGAAAATAAAGCAGAGAAAGATGAACATTATTTCAGACTAGTGCTCAGTGTGACCTTTAGAAGAAGGCAGGGCAATGTGATCATTGGAAAGGATCCACTGCAACCCGAGACCGGCACTTTTGCTTATACCATAGCACATAATAACTTCATTTGCATAATATGGAAACCTGGAGGAAACCATGAGTCAGTAGCAGCGCTGTTTAAGAACAAGAACCCTTATACCTCAGTCCTCCTTTCCCGTTCTATTTAACAGAAAGGTTAAGATGCCCATTTTGACAAGTTGTACTTTGAGAGAAGTATTTCAGAGCTAAGATTCTGTAAACCACAGTTTGCAAGAAGGCTGCATTTTAAAATTTATTTTCTCAATTGGCTTACTATAAGTTTATGGAAGTGGTTATTGGGGCATTTTAATCAAAGTAGATCATTCTTACTTACTGGCAGGTTAATAATCCTACTGTGAGTCACACTATTGGAGAGTTCAATCAGAAACACACCAAAATGGAGCAGTATTTTAAGAGTTTCAACCATTTAGTTTTGGTTTTTCAGTAATAATTTAAGATGACTTCCCCACTCTGAAACCTGATAAAATTTACAATGCAAGGTATACTAGTGCATTTATAACAATACCTGGTGGAATTCTGATAAAAATCAAGAGTTCAGTACCAAAGTAAGACTTTTCTGGGCAGAGTAAAAATAGAACCTGCTTTTGTTTTCCCTGAAATCACATGCTTTAAATCATGATTTTTGATGTGAATAGTGAAGATTATGAACAACTACGATTGAAATAAAACATTACCCATATATATGTAAGTGAATCATATATATGTAAGTTTACCTGGATCATTCAGGTAAATGCTTGGCAGTACCCCTTTGCATAAGACACCAAGATGGAGAAGAGGGTGCAAACTGGTGCCTCACAAGGCAGACCAGTACACAGATGTATTTTGCTTAGCTTATCGTATTACAATTTAAAAAAAAAAAAAAAAGGCAAGCAACAATACATCCACTACTTGCCTGACATTTCACATGTAAATATAGATTCCCAACCTTAAAAACAACTCTCCAGAAGCCCAGCACTAGACCCGAGTCCTGGAGGGCTGGGGCTGGGCTGTTGTCCTTTGAGGGGGTGCACTGTGCTCTGCAGTGGCTGGTTCCCTTGTTTACATGTACCTGCCCAGTCCTGGAAGGCGTTTGAGTCAGCTATCCCTATTACAGAAATGGTACCGTTCAAGGGACTGTTTTGCCCTTCAGCTAAGAAACATAAAGAGGAAAAAATGTTAGTAATCATAGGAAATAACCTGGCAGGTTTAAACAACAACAACAAAAATTATCAATTAACTTATATTAGTTGTTGCTATGGACCGAATCATTGCCCCTTCATCCCCGCCCCCCAAATTCTTATGTTGAAGCCCTTAACCTCCAGTGTGATAGTATTTGAGGTGAGGCCTTTGGGAGAAAATTAGGCCATGAAAGTAGAGCCCACATGATGGGATTAGTGCCCTTACGAGAAGAGATGAGTTCTCTTCTGCTCACCATGTGAAGACTAGGCAAGAAGGCAGCCACTTGCAAGCCAGGAAGAGGGCCCTTATCTGAAACTGATTCTGCCCAGCACCTTTGATCTTGGACTTCCCAACCTCTTGAACTGTGAGAAATGAATGTCTGCTTAAACCATCCAGTCTATGGTCTTTGTTATAGCAGCCTGAAATGACAAGAGTTGCTTTACCGATGAGTTTAAGTTCCCATTTGTGCTTCTCCATTAGAATATTTTAGTTCGAAAAATGGGTAAGACTATTTGATTTAGATACACAGACCAGAAATATGAGATTTGTGTCTATACAATCACTCAATGTCAAATGCTTGAAATCTGTAGACTGCACGATCTGGAACTGCTCCCAATTTTAAGTACAGGTTTTCAGATAGCATCCATGATTCCTGAATAGCTAAAACATGAAGGAACAGGAAATTTTGTTGTCTCTGGATGGATATATGGAAATATCATAGGTATGAGAAAAAATTTACCCCTAAATGAGCATGATGAGAAAGGGTATGTTATGTACTTTTCATTTATAGACCCTAATCTTTAAACCCATCATGCAATGTGGGCATGATCACTTTTTACAGATGGGCAAAGAGGCTCAGAGAGGCTAGGTAAGCTGCCCAAAGCCACAGGCGGCAGAGCAGGGATTTGAACCCAGCCCTGTCTAGCCTCAAGGCCCAGCACACCTTGCTGCTAGGACTGCAGAGGATACCAATCTTGGTAAGTGATGGTAAGTTTTTTAAAAAATGGTTGTAAGCTATATAAGGAAGGAAAAGGTTATAATACTGGATGAAAAATCTCTCAAATTGAGTTTGCCTCAATTCTATGACGAGGGCTTGACATATCATAGTAGCTGAAATGTAACAGTTATTTGTTACATATTTTAAAAAACAGATGGGTCTGCCCATCTCTTAGGCCCATCTCTGTAGCTTGCCTAACTCTCTCAGCTAGAAGGAATCTTCCTCCTTCAGTACATCCTCCTTCTATCACTGGTTCCATACATGTGCCTGGTATCTGTTATCTGGTTATCTTCTTAACCAGATTAGCATGCTTCCTGAAAGAAAGATAAAAAGAAACTTCCTAGCTTACTGGGTTTCCATCATATATCTATTACCAAAATGAGCAAGAACTTTTGTACCAATTGTATAATCTAAATTGCAATAACTTTGTTAGTTTTCTAGTTTTTAAATAATTGAAATCCTTAGCTTTTGAAATCACTTGGCCCACAAGTTTAAAGCATGGGAAGAGCAAAAGAACAAAAAGCTCAAACTTAGTTTTGAGTTTTAAATATCAGCCAAAATGGATGACATTTAAAATGCTAATAAATCAAACTCTCCTTATAAAATCATCCATGATCTCATTAAGCAAATGAAAGAGAAAAACATTAGAAAATTTATCAAATGAGAAAGAACTACGAACTTACTTTTGGATAAAATCTAAGCTCAGTTAGAAGCCTTGAGAATTCCCTAAACATTTTTCAAACTCAAATTTAAGGCATTCTGAATTGTCCTCTAGTCACCTTGATCTTTCTATGTCAGTGCTTAAAATGGTTCTTCAACCTCTTAGCTTTTATAGTTACTTATTTAATCCTTCCCCTACTTTAATACATTTAATGTTTATCTTCAATTCTAGTCCACCCACCTGAGCACACTCAAATAATTAACTCTTTAAGAGCCAAACTAGAGCTGAAATGGCGTTTGGTTCAGTAACCCAGAGGTTGAATGATAATAAAAAGTGATATATTAAGAAAATGCTTTCCCAATATAAAATATCTAAAGCCACTGTGATTTATTTTACTATTTCTGGATTTTGTCCCCATCCTAAACTAACTTTCTCCATCCAAAGGATGAGAAGAAAAGACAAAATCAAAGAGAAAATAACAAAACAGGATACAGAGGCCCTTCTGTACACAACACAGAATCCAAATATTAAATTGTACCAGCTTCCTAACTTTGAATAGCATAGAGCCTATATATCCAGTTATAGCAACATCTGTGTGCACTGTACACATACACAATTCTGAAAGCATATGCCCAAAGAGCATTATAAATGGGTTGTATAGTGACTAGTTCGAATTTGTGTAATTAACATATCATTTAGAAGTATCAAAAATAGCCACTGAACTATTCTCAGTATACAGATTATAATGCCCTAGATGTAACTTGGAGACACTGCTATTTGGTGCCAGCAGTTATCTTTTTAAATGGGGCGGGGTGGGATAGGCCCAATAACAACAACGGACAACTTTATGAGATACTCATTTTTTTAAATGTGTACTATTTTTTCTACAAATGAAAATTTAAATCCTTTTAGATTCTGTTGCTAAAAGGCTAAATGGCTAAATTTTATCCCACTAAAATAACAGTCACTAATATCTGAGCTGTTGCATCAAAGACAAAGGCACATTCAAAAGACTGTTAATGTAGTTTATGTGTTACAAAGTGTTGCTAGGAACAACCTGGATGCAATAGCCCTCTAGTCATTTAATGCAGGTTTGCACAGGCACAAGGTGTATTATATGTTCATCTGAAAAGAGGCCAATCGATATAAGGAATCTTAACTGAGGCTGATGTAATTACCCAGCACAATGCTGAACATGCAGCAGGCAGTGAAATACTCATGGCATTAAAGTTCAAGATAAGTTAATATTAACTATTAATGTTAAAAATTTTTAAGATTTATATTGTCTTTAAATGGCATTTACCAAAGTTTAAAATCAGAGTTTTTCTTTTTAAAACAAGAAAAATATTTTGATAATCTACCATTAAGGTAAGAGTTTCAGGGAGCTTAGACTTTAAGGAAAGGCTAAACACTTTATAAAATATAAATTTTAAAACTTCTACTCTTTGAAGGTGAAAACAATGCTTAATTAGGAAAATCTAGTGCTTTAAGATTCAGAAGCAGCTACAGGCAGTTCCCTATTTAAGGAGGTTGCACTTTGAAAAAATTCTTTTGGCTCTAGCTAGCCACTCTACTGAAGTTTAAAATTCAGAGTTCAGGGCAGCTCCTCCCTTCCACTGGCCCAAGCCTGTAGTCCTCACTCCTACTAGAACCACCTGTTGCTTCCCAGAAACCCAGTTTTCTCCTTATACTAACTCCAAAACAAGCCCACAGCCATTTTGAGGGTTAAGGCTCTAGTCAGAGTTGATGACCAAATCAGTGCCAAAAGTGCATTTTGCTGCATCTCTCTGCTGTCTCTCCCCTACTCCCACTTTGTCCTTTCACCCACTCAATAAAGCCCTGTGCTAGGAATACTATGAAGAGCCAGGCAGGTGTGGTTCCTATTCTCAACAATAGCCAATAACACAAAACAGCTAAATGAACTGGGTGAGTGCTGGAGATGTACACATGTAGTAGGAGGGTCTGAGCCAGCCTGGGAGATCAGAAGGCATCCCAAAGGAAAGAGTCTGCCCAGGCTCAGGAGAAGGTCTCTAGTGACGCCTCAACACGAACACAATT